GACACGTACACGTAGTAGGGCATGTTTAAATGCTTCTGCAGACACGCACACGTAGTAGGGCGTGTTTAAATGCTTCTGCAGACACGCACACATAGTAGGGTGTGTTTAAATGCATCTGCAGACACGTAACGTAGTAGGGCATGTTTAAATGCATCTGCAGACATGCACACGTAGTAGGGCGTGTTTAAATGCTTCTGCAGACACGCACACATAGTAGGGTGTGTTTAAATGCATCTGCAGACACGCACACGTAGTAGGGCGTGTTTAAATGCATCTGCAGACACGCACACGTAGTAGGGCGTGTTTAAATGCTTCTGCAGACACGTACACATAGTAGGGCGTGTTTAAATGCATCTGCAGACACGTAACGTAGTAGGGCGTGTTTAAATGCTTCTGCAGACACGCACACGCTAGGGCTTGTTTAAATGCATCTGCAGACACGCACACGTAGTAGGGCATGTTTAAATGCATCTGCAGACATGCACACGTAGTAGGGCATGTTTAAATGCATCTGCAGACATGCACACGTAGTAGGGCGTGTTTAAATGCATCTGCAGACATGCACACGTAGTAGGGCGTGTTTAAATGCATCTGCAGACATGCACACGTAGTAGGGCATGTTTAAATGCTTCTGCAGACACGCACACATAGTAGGGTGTGTTTAAATGCATCTGCAGACACGCACACGTAGTAGGGCGTGTTTAAATGCATCTGCAGACATGCACACGCTAGGGCGTGTTTAAATGCATCTGCAGACATGCACACGTAGTAGGGCGTGTTTAAATGCATCTGCAGACATGCACACGTAGTAGGGCGTGTTTAAATGCATCTGCAGACACGTACACGTAGTAGGGCGTGTTTAAATGCATCTGCAGACATGCACACGTAGTAGGGCGTGTTTAAATGCATCTGCAGACACGTAACGTAGTAGGGCGTGTTTAAATGCATCTGCAGACATGCACACGTAGTAGGGCGTGTTTAAATGCATCTGCAGACATGCACACGTAGTAGGGCGTGTTTAAATGCATCTGCAGACATGCACACGTAGTAGGGCATGTTTAAATGCATCTGCAGACATGCACACGTAGTAGGGCATGTTTAAATGCATCTGCAGACATGCACACGTAGTAGGGCGTGTTTAAATGCTTCTGCAGACATGCACACGTAGTAGGGCATGTTTAAATGCATCTGCAGACACGTAACGTAGTAGGGCATGTTTAAATGCATCTGCAGACATGCACACGTAGTAGGGCATGTTTAAATGCATCTGCAGACATGCACACGTAGTAGGGCATGTTTAAATGCATCTGCAGACATGCACACGTAGTAGGGCGTGTTTAAATGCATCTGCAGACATGCACACGTAGTAGGGCATGTTTAAATGCATCTGCAGACACGCACACGTAGTAGGGCGTGTTTAAATGCATCTGCAGACATGCACACGCTAGGGCGTGTTTAAATGCATCTGCAGACACGCACACGTAGTAGGGCGTGTTTAAATGCATCTGCAGACATGCACACGTAGTAGGGCGTGTTTAAATGCATCTGCAGACACGCACACGTAGTAGGGCGTGTTTAAATGCATCTGCAGACACGCACACGTAGTAGGGCGTGTTTAAATGCATCTGCAGACATGCACACGTAGTAGGGCGTGTTTAAATGCATCTGCAGACATGCACACGTAGTAGGGCGTGTTTAAATGCATCTGCAGTTATGCCAGACTTTTTCCTGACCCCGCTTTCTGCTGGAGGCGAAACAAATGCAGTTGGGTTGGCTTCCCGTCTTTACACAGAAAACCTGCATCCTTCCCCAGATTGGGCAATGGGGACAGGCCCAGTGCTTGCTCCTGAGGGCCAAAGGTGGCTGTGCCCTTGCTCCCTGTCACCAGCCTCTGAGGAGGGGGTGAGGAAAAGTCCAGGCTCTAACTTAGTCATCAAGGTGGGGCATTCATGGTGGTGATTGGGGTGAGGATGAAGGCTGCAGGCTGTCTTGACCCGGTGACATCCGAGTCACAAGAGACCTGTCTGTATTGTTCCTTCCCTGGGTAGCCCTTGTTTGAAAATATGGCTTCCCTGGGCTGAGGACATGAAGGTAGTGTTGGGAATGCCATCTGTCTCCCTTCACATTGCTGAGAGAATAAGTTTCTTCTGAACATTAGATTAATATGTTTTCTAGACATTTCCAGAACACCTCTCTTGCGTGTTCCGGCTGAACTGGGTCACGTCTCACCCCTAAGCCGTGACAGTGACTGTATCGTGAGGAGGATTAGGTGCCTCTTGTCCAACCACATCCTGCCCAGCCCTGAGGCTGGGGCCGAGTCAGCTTGAGGGAGGATGCCTAGGTGAAAAAAAAACATGTCATTTAGCAGGGAAACTGGGATGTGAGACCACTGGCCTCATCCTGTTTCATGTCATTTAGCAGGGAAACTGGGATGTGAGACCACTGGCCTCATCCTGTTTCACACAGTAGGCTGTGCTGGCAGCTGGTGGCAGGTGCGGGCTTTGGTTCCTGCTCAGCAGAGGTTATGACCAATGGAGGTGGCTTTGCTGACAGCTTCCAGCACTGCCCGGCAGGTCGAAAGGGCTACAGGGCCTGGGACCACTCTTGGCGCCTAGATTTAAGGGGTCCCGATAGGCATCAGGGTTTTAGGTGAGGCATTTTTATTTTGCCCTAAAAGCCTTCCAGGGGGGAAGCGCAATTCCTCAGGGCCTGACTTTAATGGTTTCTTTTATAGACTCACTCATGTTATAGATGGATGAACTGGGGGGGACCCTGCTCAAGAATGCAGGAGAGCTGGACGATGAAAAGGGGGGAAGGTAAATTGTGGGGGTTGGTGAAATGTGTTTTCTTAAACATGAACTCTTAAAAACCACACTGGCTCCCGGGACTGAGCCAGGCACTGGAGGCTGGGCTTCCCCAGGTTTGATCTGCCTGGCAACGCTAGCTGAAGTACTTCCTGATGGAGAGGAGCCAAGGCCCTCCAGAACCATCACTTCTACTGGCCGTGGTTCTGTCCCTGGACTTGGGCCATAATAGCTGCAACAATGAAGTGCCCTCCCCACCCCCAACCTCATCTAGGGTCAGATTCGGTGTCGCTGATTTGCACAGTTTTAGGCAGGTCCCTCAGCCGCTCTGATCTTGCTCTGCTGCACACAACCAACATTGTCTCCATCTGACGTACTCATCAGCAGTGTGATGTCAAATTCTGTTTCTAATGAGCTCATAGCTGTTGGTCCGTGGGAAGACATATAAAGCAATGTTACCATCAGGGCTTTGGGACGGCCTGGGACCTGCTTGTGAGTCACTTTTCTCAGTGTTGTGACAAAATGCCCAACAGAGCAACTTAGGGAAGCTTTGTTTGGGACCGTGGCTTGAAGGTCCAGTCCATCACGACATCCAGGCCATGAGGCAGCTGGTGACAGCATCCACAACCAGGAAGCAGACAGAAATGAGCAGGAGCTCAGCAGTCTTTGTTCTTTATACCCATTCCAGCACAGGTCCACCATGGAGATAGGGATACTGCCCACCTAGAGGGTAGTTCCTCCTAGGCCATTAACCCAGTCTAGAAACTACCCCCTACCCATAACCAGAGGTCTGTCTCCATTGGCAATCAACATTGACCGTTACATCCTGGAGTTAATTCCGTACTTTGTAACTCTGGTCTCTGGGTATCAGGCTTTCTTGGAGTACCAACTCCTGTCCACGCTTTTCAGGCTTGTACACTGGCAGGTTCTGTTGTGTTTTGAAGGAATTTGCTGAGCGACCAAAGGGCTGAGAAAAAAGACAGGTCTGCTAGACTGGCACATCCTTGGCTACAGCCATAAAGGCTTTACAAAGACGGGAAACTGAGGCAGGGGGCTGGGGAGTAGAACGTGGAAGACAAAGTATAGTTTAACTGAACAGATGCTGTGGGAAACCCCTTCTTGGAACCAAGGGTCAGGGTTAGAGTTGGGGGGCGAGGGTAGCCTCTCCCTCACTTTTCACAAAGCTACTGGCTCCTGTCATGAAGCCTTGCCCTGCGACCTTGTGTTTCTCAAGGGCTTACACCTGCCAAGACCTTGTTCAGGCAAAATGCTTGCCACAGGCCTGGAGGTGATCCGTGCCTCTTGCCTGTTAGCAGTGGTCACCTAGTGTGTCTTCTTCCCTCCCCCACCAGCTCTCATCCTCCTGGAATCCAGCTTTTCTTTCCCTCCAGGCCTTTATGTCTGCAGGGCCCTCCACCTGTAGTGAGGGGGTCTCAGACTAATACAGGGAGTCTCTGGCTAGTGCAGGGGGTCTCAGGCTAGACCACATACATGGGGCTCATTCCTTACTGCCACCCGGTCTCTCCTCTGGTGGCCTCTCCATTGTCATCAGGTGTCGGCAGCTATGCTTACTTCATTGGCACACAACAGTTACACCATGAAGCCTGCAAACCAAGTGACCCACTCTGGCCAGAGCAGTGTAAGCTGCACTAGCCTGAGACCCCCTGCACTAGCCTGTGACCCCCTTCACTATAGTCCGAGACCCCCTGCACTAGCCTGTGACCCCCTTCACTATAGCCCGAGACCCCCTGCACTAGCCTGTGACCCCCTTCACTATAGCCCGAGACCCCCTGCACTAGCCTGTGACCCCCTTCACTATAGCCCGAGACCCCCTGCACTAGCCTGTGACCCCCTGCACGAGCCTGAGACCCCCTGCACTAGCCTGTGACCCCCTGTACTAGCCTGAGACCCCCTGTACTAGCCTGAGACCCCCTGTACTAGCTTGAGATACCCTGCAGGTCTTGGCCTGGATCCTCATGCTTCTTAGTGTCTGGGTCATCATTGATGATTATGTGTTGTCTTCGATGCTCCCAGGGGTCACCAGAGAACAGGGTATCCCTAAAATAGCTCCTGGAATTATCCAGATAGTCCTTGTCAGATGAACAAATAGCCATGAATAGGTTGTCAGGTGAGGACGGAATCTTCCCCCACCCCTTCCCTGTCCCCACACCTCTGTAATGGACACCTCCTCTGCAGGACAGAGCATCAACCCCAAGTTGGCGGGCCTGATTGGGCGGCACGGACCTCAGAACAAGCAACCCTTCATGGTCGCCTTCTTCAAGGCCACAGAGGTCCATCTGCGGAGCATCCGGTCCACTGGGGGCAAGCAGCGCAGCCAGAACCGCTCCAAGACACCCAAGAACCAAGAGGCACTGAGGATGGCCAGTGTGGCAGGTAGGCCAATTCAGGTCCGAGCAGTCAGGAGGGACTATATGTACAAATGCATTACGGATAGTTCCAGACCAGATCAGCCTATGAGCTGGGATGCGCCTGTCGAGCATAGTTTCTCCAGGACTCTGGTGACCTCGAAGCAAAGAAGTCTAGACACAAACTCAACAAGCCTGCTTGCGAGAGCTCCAAACAGACTCGGTCTTCCCTCGGCCTTGGGAGTCTGAGGAAACACCCAAGGGGGTTTGGGCTGTTGAGAACTAAAAAGCGAGACCACCAGGCCATTGCTCCCCCTCCCTCCCCACCTCTTGAGCGCACCTTGCATTGTGCTTGTCTTCTTGAGAGTCATTCAGTTTCTGAAGAGAGAAGGTGGCCCACTGCGGCTGTTGGACCTATTGTTTCTGGGGTATCCCCCAGTATCCAGGGGAGACTTCCGTGGGTGGAGTTGGGTCAGAAATGTATATGAACACAGTCCTATTTCCACAGAGTCAGAATCTATTCTTAATTCAGAGGCTATGCCAATTTTATGGTCCAAATATCCCTTGGTATTCACCAAATACCCCTTTCCCTTGGTAGACATGGCCACTTCCAATCAGAGGTTTTTATTCCAATCTCAAGTGGTAAATCTGTCTTAACGACTTAACACCTAATGACTCAGCACACATTATACCTGTGTAGCATGGCATTACATATTAACACACACATTACAGAGTGGAGAAGAAGCTGTTTGGGAAGAGGCAGTGCTACTCAGCAAGGCTGTTCTAAAGCTGGAGATGCAGAGCCAACCCGGCCTCAAGGACAGTCTCTCTGGGGACTAGATGAAGGGGTCTCAGGTTGAGCTCAGGGCTGTTCAGAGCAGAGTTGCTGAATGCAGACCTAGGTGAGCTTTGGTGTTGGTCTGCAGAGGGCTGAGGGTGGCAGGCAGGGGCTGGGGGAGTCCTTGCCTGTGGCAACCCTGGGCAAGGTTCATGACTAGAGACCAGGACCACGTGCCAGCACGCTTTGGCTGTTCCTTTGATCCTAGCCGAGGTGAGGAGATGTATGAAGGATGGCTCATGAGTCTGATGTTCTGACATAAGCTATACTCAGAGATAGCATTGTTCATAGACACAAATAAACTACCAGGAAGTAGCACCTCTAGGGTGCTGGCTGATGTTGCTGTTTTACTTATATAAATGAGATGCCGAGTCCATCTTCCTTGGCATTCAGACCCAAGATGGAGCCACTTGGGGCAGCACGGCTGGTCTGTAAAACAGATTAACGGTGGCGAGGTACAGTCAGAAAGCTGCTGTTCTCAACAGTCACCGGGAGTCACCTGCCTGCTCTGCCACCTGAGTGTGGAGAGAGGCTTCCTAAGCTTCTCTTCTGCCAAGTAGGGCCTTTTATAGGCACCTCAAAGGGGTCTGTTAGCCTCCAAATTAAAAAAAAAATACTGAGTTCCTTCATATTTGGGGGCCTTGTTTATGCTGAGATTGGAATCCTGTGGTGGAAGCCTAGGTCTAGAAGCTATCTGGAGCAGGTAGAAGTGATTATGGCCCTCATCTGTATGCAGTGACAGAACCAGGATTGGGGGTGGTGACTGGGTAACTCAGCTCATTCCAGGGTTGGGGATGGGAACTGAGCTGAGGCCCACGAGCAAGGCCAGGCTGACCCCGTTGCTGAGGCCTGTGTGCCCTGAGGGTACAAAGTCCCATGGTTTAGCTTTTCTGACATCTTTGAGACTGGTGACTACGACAAGGAGGTTGCTAGAGCCACAGGTGGGTGGGACGTTCTCCCGGGAGTCTGATCTTCGAGTTTGAAATCCATCCCAAGCAGGAGTGGGAGTTTTCCGTTTCCAGGCCGTGTGTTGTGTAGGTGTGAGGTCATGCAGGGAGCTCTGGGAATGGTGGCTATAGCACCGGGTGAAGTATCTGTCTTCCCAGAATCCTGTGCAAACTCAGCTGGCAAGAAGCTCTGGCATATCCCTTGCCAGCAAAGGTGACCTTGTCTTGTAGATCTACGTTTGCCTCCGGAGTGAGGAATGCGGAGGGCTTGACCCTTCGTAGTCCCCCAGAATGCCCACCTTCATACCTCCAGGACAGGATCCTCCCTCGAATGACAGCTAGTCCCTCTGGCTCGGGTTCTGCCTACTCCCATGGATTTCAACTCCCTACTCTCGTTTTAAGTTCTTCCAAACCCTGCCTGGAAGTTTAACATAAAAAAACAAAACAAAACAAAACAAAAAAAAAACCACCAGGACTGGGGCTCCACCCTGGCTTAGTGAGGCAGCCTGTGCGTGTGTGTAGGCGTGTGCCCAGTGCCTTTGAAGTGCTCACACCTCACATGATGGGCCACACAAGTTGAATTCTCTCTTGCATGCACAGTATCCTTTATGTGTCCAGTTGGAGACACATGTCCCAGCATGCCTCTGCATGAAAGTCTCTTTCCTTTGGACCACTCCTGCCCCGGGGTTCCAGCCACTACTGAGATGCAGGTGGATAACCTGGGTCCCTTGTTCCCTTCCGTCCAACACCCTGGTAGCTGACCCTTGGGATAGCAGCAAGTACGAGCACCTATCCTAATTTGCTTACTACCTGAGCAAGACTTTTCAGAGGTAGCTGTGCAGCAGCTGGTGGCTGGCACCTTTTGTTCACCAGCTCTCTGCTATACTGGGTGGGGTGGGTGGAACAAGATTGGGGGCAGGGGAACTAGATGTCTCCCTTCCCTTGCTTTTCTGCTAAGAAGGACCTGAGAATACTGGGGAATTCCAACTACCTTCTCCTGGGGCGGCCACAACCCCAGCTAGGACACGCAAGGGCCCATGCCCCCCACAGCACGCCCCAGCGAGCTTCCAATGTTAAACCGCAGATCTTCACTGGGATCCGCCCCTTCTTTGCACGTGATAGAGTGACAGACATGGCTAATTGCCACAGCACCTTTTCTCATATCTCACTTTAGGATCTGCCCAGACTTAGAACGGGGAGCTGTGGGCAATCTGGCCCCAGGGATCCTACTCAGAGCTATACCTTGCTTAGACTCCTTCACCCTGGGCTGAGGATACAGTCCACTTCCCTTTCTCTTTCCTACCTGCCCCCACCCCATGGAGGAGAGAAATGGGGCTGGTGGGGTGGATAGTGCTAGCTGCAGTCCCTGGCTTTGCCACGGTGATGAACGGCATCTTAGGAGTGGTCCATAGTGGTTCCAGGAGGTAGACCAGTTGTCCAGGTCTGTGGACTGTGCTCTAATAGTGCCCTGGCCCTTTGTGTTGAGACAGGCTGGCCTGTGCTATTTCTTCCTGGACAGAGCTGTGCAGGTGAAATTCCCATGCATCCTGAGAAGCACAATCTCCTAAGGGATGTGTGTCACTTGTCATCGGACACCCTGTGGCCTGTCAGTAGGCTCAGAGGGAACAGTCATCACCTTTGGGTGGTTGTAGGGTGTGTAGGAATGAGAAATTGCCTGAGCGCTCAGGAAACTGGCCTGCAGGGCTCTGTCGTGTAGACAGGGGCCCGGGCTTTATGGGCAAGGATGTGGAATGGTGGAGAAGGTGATAGAAGTCAGGCTGGGGAAGTCATCAATCAAGTACCAACCACCCGTGCAGCTGCAGAGTAGAAGAAGCTTCTGTAGCTGTGCGTGAGGGACAGACAGATTCCCACAGTGTTTACAAAGTGCAGCCTCCGGCCCAATTCTACAAACTTGTGTCCTAGAAAACCAAGCACACTGTTTTTGTTCCTTAAACTCAACAGCTGCTGCAGGGGTGTGGACTTTCCTCTGGTTTCTTCCCGGCAGTGTCCCCAGCCTCGGTTCTGGACCTGTACCCTCAGGTGCATGAGTGTCTCAGGGCTGACTTGGTGGGCCTACTCAGGCAGGGTGGTCTGGAAGCAGGATAGTCTGGGCGGGATGGGGGGGTGCTCTACTAAAGGACAGAGGTGACCATGAAGGTCTCAAACTGGCTTCTGAGTCATCACTGTCCTTCAGCCCCTGAGTCCAGTGGCTGCTCCCCCACTTCAGACTCAAAGGGACTTGAACACGTATGAGCTTCTCTCTCCTCCCTGGGTTTTTCTCTTTGTCCATGCAGAAAACAGCAGCAGTGACCAGAGGCAAGCCTGCAAGAAACACGAACTGTATGTCAGCTTCCGAGACCTCGGCTGGCAGGTAAGGATGGCTGAGCTGCCACACATTGGGCCTTTCTCTGTCCCTGCCAGCCACAGGGATGTCTTTATGGGTGCAGTGTGTCACAGTCCATGTCTTTTCCTCCTCGGGACTAGAGTCCCATAAGTCCCAGGCTGGCACGGAACTCACTGGGATGACGTGCATCTACCTCCCAGGCACCGGGAGTACAGGAGTGTGCCACCATGCCTAGTTTGTGTCGTGTTGGAGTGGAACCCGGAGTGCCCTGCATGCTAGGCAAGCACTCTCCCAGCTCAGTTCACAGTTCTTGTCCCTGCTGGTGAGATGTCAGGTGACAGGAGCCCTGACCTGAGAGGGGGACTTGAGTTGAACGTGTGAGGACATCCATGATGTCCCATGACACCCAAGGTGTGGCTGACTCTTGGCATCAGAACTTGAAGCCCCACCCTTCTGAAGTGTGCACTTCAGTCTCCATGTACACCCCAGTCCCGGCCCTTGGCTTGCTGCTTCTCACACACATGATCGTGTGTTTGAACCCAGCCCTGGAGGGCCAGCTTCCTCTGCCCTTTCTCCACCCTGTTCTGTGACTCAGATCGGGTGTTTGTTTCTAAGCCAAGCGAGCAGGCTGCTGTGGTAGAGCAAGGGCTCTGAGCATACTGTTTATCCTGTGTGCTGTGCTGGACACTCCTGCAGCAGGAGCTCTCGGCTTGCAATCCCTAGACGGTACCACTTTGTGGGTTAGCATGACACAACACTTCCAGAGCTCAGAGAATATGCTCTCAGGATTACCCAAGCCACAGAGGGTCACTAGCCTCTTGCTCAAGAAGGTGCACCGGGCATGGAGGTCTGGTTTAGACTCACAGGCATGTCCTGTCTTGACAATGGGACAAAATGTTGTCATCCACAAAGTTCATGCTGAAGCCATACATACAAAGAAGGTGCAAGCAAACAAACAGCGAAATTACGACGTATTCGTTGTTTACGTATTGTGTTGGGGTTCATTAGTAGCTGTGCTTACCCAGTGGGTGCAAGGTCTAGGCTGTGAGATGGACGTGCCTGGGAGCAAGCTGAGGCTTGCCACCCCCAGCAGGGGCGGGGGTGGTTTTAGGTGTGGTCTCTGACCCATGGCTCCCTCCCTGCTGCTGTTGCACCTCTGGTCCAGGAGACGCAACACAAGGGCGGCCCCTCTAAGCTTGACTTGTTTGTCTTTTCCTTCTGCTGGGCTCACAAAGTATCACGCTCACTTTTCTGGCCCTGAAGGGACCCCACAACTCAGAAGAGCATAACCTGAGCCTGAGGGAGGACTCCACACAGGGTGGGAACACGGGGGTGGGACCCTGCCCTGGGCTCTCCACAGGGTCCTGTTAGGACCTGGCCTCACTTTCGTCTCTTTGCAGGACTGGATCATCGCCCCTGAAGGCTATGCTGCCTACTACTGTGAGGGGGAGTGTGCCTTCCCTCTAAACTCCTACATGAATGCCACCAACCACGCCATCGTCCAGACACTGGTGGGTGCCCCTGGGGGTGTGGCCTGTAGGAGATGGGAGTGGCTTCTACTGCCTTTAACCAGAACCTGAGCAACTGTGTGTCCAAGTGTGTCATGACTCTTGTGGGTACCTGCTATAGAAAAAGCTGAAAAAATATGTTTTAAGCATGTAGTGGTATAAAGATGAATATATATGCACACAATACACATATATATTTATATATCTTGGACCCTGTCACTGTGCCTTGCTGAGAATTGGGTCCCCTCCTGGTGGGGACTGTCCTCTTGAGTGTCAGCATGCTTTCCTGTGTTATGATAAAGTTTGACTGCTAGCTCCTGGAGCTCCCCCATTCACCAGCCCCTTTCAGAGCTAGGGCTTTCTTTCCCAGTTTTGACCTTGAACTTGAAGCTAAGTGATTTGAAAGGCTTTACTCTGTTGATTGTCTGCGAAGTGCCAGAACAGCCCAGTGTTCTTGACCTTGGGCTTTACTGTCCAGGGGAGGAAATGGCCAACTGAGCAAATGAGAGAATTTCAGGGGGAGAATGTGCCCGAAAGGGAGGATGGCAGGAGCCAGCCGCCGATTCAAGTCAACCCTCTATGGGTCACTGTGATGAGACCATACTGGCCTCAGATGCTGGGGGCCAAGGTGACCTTCCTCCCTGCAGTGGGTGCTGCCTGGACTTCCCTCAACAACTGAGCATCCATGCTGGTTTGAATTCTGGTGCCAAAGAGCTCACCACGGGACCCTCTTCCACGCAATTCTGTTTGCTATTCAAATTTATGTTTATTCCACACCATAAGTCCTGAACGGAGCTCATTGCTCATCGATGCCTTTCATTTAGTCCAAGCTTTACCCTGTGGCAGAGGAAGGGCTCCCCATCACTCCCTCCCTCCTCTCTCTTTTTTCTCTCTCTTTTCCTCCTGTACTTGCTTTTATGGTTAAGAGGCTGCACCCCAGAGCCTCGTGCATGCTTAGCAAGCTCTCTGCTGTCAAGCTGTTTCCTTAGCCATCAGGTTTCACTAAGCTATGGCCTGATCTTGATTTCTCTGTGACCTTGTGGCCCTCCTACCTCAAACTCTATTTTGAGTTGCTGGAATTACAGGCTTGCACCCCAAGCCTGGTTTTTCTAGATATTGTCTCCCTATGTATGTCCTAGAACTCGTTCTGTAGACCAGGCTGACCTTAAACTCAAAGATCTACCTGCCTCTGCCTCCCAAGTGCTGGGATTAAAGGCATGCACCACCACCACCCTGCTAGCAAGGCATATCTTTAAAGACTGGTTTTCCAACGTTTTCCCTTCCCCTTAACTATAAACTTCAGAGCTGCATTTGGCATGGAGTCTGGAGCTAGGGACGGAATGAGCTGTCCGGACCTGGTGTTCTGCCAATGTGGCTTATCGGACCTCCTCTGAGCAGCCAGAAGGTGCTGGGTCCTGTGTTCGGGGCCTTTCTCTAGCATCCTTCACCACTGCCTTCCTTTCTGGCCCCGGGGCAAGGGCACAGCTGCTTCTGTTAGCATTTCACTTCAGGGTCCATGGAAGTGTCCATGGCTGGAGGGAGGGGGCCTCTGTAGTCACGTGGACCAGGGGTAAATCCTTCTCTGAGGCATTCTGGTGAGATACTCGCAGTGGAAATGAACCAATACACCTAGGACTTCGTTAAAGTTATTCAAGAGGAGCAAGATGCGGAGGGTAGAGGTGTGTAAGGATTTGGTGCTGCCCATCAGGAGAGATGGAAGGAGCCGTCTCAGCCAAGCGAGCTGCTGAGATGTATTTGTTTGCCATTCCTGGTTTGCTCAATACCCAGAAGTTGCTCATTAACAGCCAATCGGGAGCTGGGGTTGTGGCTCAGCAGGCTGTTTTCCTAGCATGAACAAACCCCTAGGGTTCAGTCTATAGAGCTGAATAAACTGGGTGTAATGGTTTAGGTCTGTCATTTCAACCCAGCACTCAAGAGGTGGAAGCTAGCGACATAGCAAGTTTGAGGCCAGCTCTGGCATATAAGAGTCCCTATTTCAAAGAAACCAGTGACACATGAGAAGAACTGAATCTCTGGCCTTAACTGAATCTTAAGCACTGGGTTTACCTGATGGCATGGACTAGTTGGCTGGGCTGGGGTCAGCTTGGATGAGTGGCGGCCCTCTCCTTTCAGTTTGCTCCACTCCCCACTATTCCCTGCTGCCTGCTGAAGGTTGACTTTGCTTGCCAATGGTACTCACTTGGTACCTGCACAGCATCTGAGGTTTCCCTTGTCTGAACCCCTACTCTGTGGAGTGCATAGGTAAACAGCCTTCTCTTTGTTATTGTTGTGATGCTGGGGCTCGAACCCAGGACCTTGTGTGAGCTAGGCAAGCCCTCTGCCAGTAAGCTACAACCCATCCCTTAAGATAGAGTGCTTTTTACATGGGCAACGGTCAGGGAGGATGTTCCACAGTCCGCAGTTTGGAGCCCCAGCTGCCTCTCCCACATCAGATGTGTGCAGGAAGCCAGGTTCCCTCACCCACTATAGCAGAGGCAAGTCCTGAGCTGAGTTGAGTCACGAGACAGGCTCACCTGTCATTTATGGTTATCTTAACCAGACAGCAGAACTGTCTTAGAGAACTCTAGAAGCCCGCAGAAGGCCTCACCGCCTCTCAGCATGATTTGTGTTGGTGGCTTGCAGGTTCATTTCATCAACCCGGACACGGTGCCTAAGCCTTGCTGTGCGCCCACACAGCTCAACGCCATATCCGTCCTCTACTTCGACGACAGCTCCAATGTCATCCTGAAGAAGTACAGAAACATGGTGGTCCGGGCCTGTGGTTGCCACTGACCTCTTCAGAGAGCCCGACCCTTTGGGGCCACATTGTTCCAGATCTGAGGTGTCTCACCACCTAGTCTCTCACTGCCCACCTTGGCGAGGAGCAAACAGATCAGCCATCTCTCCGGAGCCTTCCGAACCTCACCTCCCCGACTGGAAATACGTAAGGCGTTAGAACCCTGAGTGCCCTGGCTGGCCAGCGGGCTGTGATTCTGGCACGTTATGGACAAGATCCTACAAGCTGCCACAGGCAACGTTTAGCAGGAAAAAGATCTCCCAAGGAAGAGTCCGTTGGACACGTGGCCTCCGTGGTGCTGAGCCCTTGAGGGGTAATCACTAGTGTTCTCCAGCCAGGCCATCAGCTGCAGCAGGAGGAAGGGCACAGCCAGGGTGGGCGCTTACGTCTGTGCTGAAGGAAGACCAGCAGAAGTCCCTGTAATAAAATGTCACAATAAAACCCATGAATGAAAATGGTTAGGATGTCACAGATATATTTTCCTAAACAATTTATCCCCGTTTCTTGGTTTATTCTGACTTCATAAACAGAAGCTAGGGCCTGTGGAGGCTGGAGGGCCCCCCTCCTTTCCATTTGGTTTCCTTCTGAGGCTTCAGGGCCCAGTGTTTACCAGAACTGCCCAAATCCACTGTATAGAGAGGGGAAGGAGGGATGTCTGCTCAGAAGAAGCCAGGGAGTGCTGGCCTCAAAGGAGACACACATTGGGGTGGAGAAGGAGGGAGGCACACACGTGCACGCATGTGTGAAACACACCAAGACTTTGGCTCTGCCAGCCCCTTGGCCCCAGTTCCCTCCCTGTACTGGGAAATAATGAGAAAATTCAAAGTGAATAAGCAGAAAGGCAGGACAGGACCTGTGCTCCGTCCCTAGTGAGGAAGCACAGGGGTTAGCCCAAAGCCCATGGTGCAGGGGCAGTGTCCTCTAAATAAGGACATCTGGCACCTCTCTGGCCACACTCCAGAGCCAGGCCCTGCCCTTTACAGCTGCCTCTCCTCACTCTCAACCCCATCAGAAGGCCCTGCACCAAACTGCTTCCTCAATCTGGGGGAGACTGGGTTCAGGGATGTCCTGTACTTGGAAGGACTTAGAGGGCAACTTCCTGACCTGAATTCCTGCCTTAGAGGGGCCAGTCTGTCATGGCTCAAGCAAGCCCACTCTGCCTGGGTCTGCGGTGCCCTAACTATCATGCACCAGTCCCTAGCTTCATGTACAAAGCTGTGGCGAGGGCTGGACAATCTGCCAATGATTCCCACATCCACACGAAGAATGGGGTTAGCCAGGTGGGACCCATTGCCCTGTAGAGTCTGGTCACATGGGGAACCCATTCTCCATATCTGTGATCCTGGAAACACTGGGTTCTCTTCTGTTATTTTTCTTCTTCAGTAGCTTGGGCTGCAGCCTCCACTCTGCCTGATCAATGGAGAGAAGAATCATCTTGTAATTTGTTTTGTGTCTTGGCAGATCTGGGGCTTTTTTGTGTGAATCCCTCTCGGTATGCATTTTACCACTCATGGCCCTAATCCGTCCGCAGTGTTTTTTGTACATTTAAATGTGTAAATAATTGTGACAAGACAAATTATTTATTTCCATCTGAAGTTCTTTTCAAAGGCTCCTCGTGGAGAACAATGGGGTCGCTTTCCTTCAATCTGTTTGTTTTCTTATTTAAAACTATTTATTAACAGTCGGACCGATGTACCCATAGCTGTCGAATAAAGTGGTCCTTAGTGAAAACGCTGTATGATTAGAGGAAAGGGGTTTGACTTTGCAATAAAAGGAGACATTTGGTTCTGGTTGCCAGGCCCGTGTGTGGATTTGTGTCTTTCCCCTCACCCCTGTGCTCCTGGACACTGGAGTTTCGTCTGCTGAGAACCCGCAACCTTGATCTCTACCATTAGCGGGATGTTTATCATCGAGGCCCAGAGGGAAACGGTGCTCATCAATATTTGGTGCAGCTGTGTGGGGCTCCAGGCCGGAGGGACAGAACCAGAAAACAAATGCGAATCTGGTAGGCTGGGATGGCAAAGATCCTTGATTGAATTACAGTCCAGCCGTCAGCAGCTGCTTCAAAGAGGTAGGGGGTAAATTAGCTGTGTTTACTGCTAACATAGTCAAGGATTTAGTCATCCCAATAAAATAGAGACACAAGGGAGAAAAGGGGGGCGTATACCCCAAACTTGAAAGCAGCACTGGCTTCACAGCTGGCGTCATTCAGTGCCCGTCACCCGTACAGTTGGGGGCTGCCCTTGCAGGCCAGCTGTGGAGGTGGGCGGCCCACCGCAGGCCTGGATAGGGTGTGGGCCCCCGTCAAGCTAGCAGCGGTGCTCATCTGGCTCCATCTGGCTTTGAAGTGTGCACTAAGGTCACCTGATGGATGTTTCTAGAATCCCAGCCGGTACTTGGACAGGCTGCTCCTCCGTCTTCCCTGTTGACTCAGACCCAGCAACCACTCCTAACGCATTCCAGCCCCTGAAGTTCCTAAACCCCTGCTGTCACTGTCCTGACAATCTAGCTTTTGTTCTGTTTTCCAGGCTGAAGACCAGAGCCACAAACCGGAGGTCCAGATGTGGCCTTCCAGATGTGCCTTGTCCTCTCTACCCCACCCCCAGGAGTGTTTACACATTTTTAAAAACACAAATTCGTTGCCAATATGTTTTTTGCAAATCAGGAGTTCAGGTTTCTCTTGAGTAGTCAGCGGACTGGGACACCTGGCACTTCGGCGAGTGTTGCTCCTAGCAGAACAGAGATGCCAGGGCCCCAGCCACCACCACACTCCGTGGCCTCTTCCACAAAGGGGCGAAGTCAGTTGGCATTTTAAAAACGGCAGATGAACATCAATTTGTGCCCAAGTCCCAGAAGGAATAAAAAGAAAAGCTATGCTGGGAGATGCATGAACTTCAGGACAGGCAAGTGGCTTTTATGTTTGTCTTAAGCTAGCCTGTTCCCACAGCCCTCAGCAGGCCGTGTGGCCATGTGTGGTAGACCAGATGTACCTATCTCCTATCCCCTCCCCCTTTTCTTGGCTTCCACCTCTCTGCCAAATGCTGTTTAATATTGGGCACCAGCAGGTGACCTCCTTAAAGGCCCCCAACTAACCATTTCTGAAACCTAGGCTCCCCAGAGTTGGAATTTCCTGGGGCTGTTTAGGGCGTAGGGATTACTGACTCCCAGCTTTTACCCTTGGGCCCCTTTGCATCCAGAATCCAGGCTGAGTTTCTGAACTACATGCTCAGCATGGAGGCTCCCGACTGTTTGAGGCTCTGCACCTCTGGGCGTGACCTTGACCTGGATGGTGATGACTACTGTCCTGAGCGAGCAGTGGCTCCTCCTGGGGCCTGGCGGCCACTGTGGAAACAGAGAAATGTGCCAGGGGATCCCCTCTCTGGAGGAGTCTCTCGTGGGCACATTGCCCTTCCCGCTGCAGTTTTTGCAGGTAAGCGTCCACACGTCCTGGGGCCGACACAGCACACTTTCATACACGCTGTTTAGCAGGCTTGGCCCTACCGTCCAGAGGCCCTCTCTTTAGGAACAATGCCTGCCATATTCAAGGAAGGACCTGTCTCGCAGATGGCAGAATTCTTGCCAGCCTCTTGGAATGCTATGTCATTGCACACATCAGGAACCAACACAGGCTGCACGAACATTAAAATGTCAATCAGCAACAACACACAGTGCACAATTCCAGGGCTATGCTGAATCCAGGGTCCCCACCAAGATTCCAGTTAGGTGTCTAGAATAGCTATTTGTCACCCCCAAATTCTTCAGACGGTCCCTCATTGTCCACCTCCTTGGTGTGCCCCTGACTGCTCTGTTTGGAGGACTTGGCACTTGAACAAGCTCAGGAGAAGCCTGGAGGCTGCACTGGCTCCAGGCTTCAGCAGTGGAAGCAGCACAGGTCTTAGCTGTCATGGGGCTGGTATTCGTCCCTGGATGGGGCCCTACACAACTGTTCACACACAGCATTGATAAAACGATGCCCCCAGTGGGGCACTTTCATGATGCCAATGGAAAGCACCTCCAGGGAGTACATGCCGACAGCCTTGGCCAGCCTCAGTCTCTTCTAGGACTCAGCTTTGTCAGGTCGACTGGTCCCCACCCACACTTGGGGTGTTGAGTGTCTGCCCCTGCCAAAGACATGCGTGATGACCTCCTTAGACATTTCCTATTGGCCTGTGAACCCCATTCTCCTGGCTCAGATCCTTCAGCACTCTGGCGCTGGCCTCTTTTGGTTCCAGATTTGAGGAAATAAAAATAGAAGAGGAAAACACTCTGCTCTCCAAGGCTGTTTCGACAGCTGCTTGGATGGAGGCAGTGTGCACCTGGCCAGGAGGGCTGTGCTGCCCCTGCTGCATCGGCTCTGGTGCTCCCTGACTCCTGCAGTCCTCCTCGTTAGCAGGACAAGGCCCTGATTCTGATCAGCTCGGAGGAAACATGGGGGCTGACTCACGCCTGAAATCACCCACCCAGCTCTACTGGCCCACCTCAGGTCTGGTCCCACCCACCATCCAGCTAGGACACAGGCTCCACCCTCCAGAGAACCTTGAGTGTAATTATGCATTTTTCTCTCGCCGGCTTGAATTGATTAATGTTTATGGACAAGTGCCTCATAGTTTTATTTTGCCTGAGGCCCCACAGATCCTGTGCCCAAGGGACAGAGTACAGCACCTATCACACGTCGCTCACGAAGGACATTCTTAGAGCCTGTGAGCCTTAGGTGGTGTCCTGAACAAGACAAGCTGTGGACAGCAGGCACTGAGGCCCCTTCGCAGTGACAGCACAGAGAAAAAGGTCAGACACCAGCAGGATCTCATAATACCCTGGGGTCCCAGAAGGAGGAAAGATCTACTCAAGCTGGGGCCTTCAGAGGTGGGTGAAGGGCAGTGGGGAGGGGTCAAGAGAAAAAGCAAGGTAGGGCAGATCCTAGGGGTGGCCTTGTGATGAGCTGGGAGCAGCCATTTAAATTGTCACCCCTCTACCTGCACACAAACTGCCAGAGTCTCCTAAAAAGGTGGACAGAGGGTGGAGAGATGGACACAGTCAAGAGCACAGGCTGCTCTAGCAGAGGACAGGATCCAAATCCCAGCACCTACATAGCCACTCCCAACTGCTTGTTGCTCAAGTTCCGTGGGACCTGAGGTCCTCTTCTGGCCTTCTTGGGTACTGCATGCATGTGATACCCAGACATGCAAAACGCCCAACAAATAAAATAATTAGTGACCTATAAATACTAATATCAAGAAGAAGAAAGATCAGGTGCTTATTCCAGCACGGTTTTTGATACCCTTGAATTTCTCGTTAGGAATGACCAGAAAATCTGTCCACCATACCTGAGCTTATGGTGATTCTTAATGGCAAGTGAACCAACCTTGGCTCAAGAGGGCAGAGCTTTCAGGTCTATGGGCTGAAGGAGAGGACTTCTGGCCCTGGAGGTCACTGATGGCCAGCGATGTTATCCATGGTGTCACCGCTTGGAATCTCTCAGCACTAGCACAGCTGACTGGGTGATTTTTGATAATTAGATGTCATTAATAACAGGCTGGGCGTCAGGAGATGTGAGCGCTGCTCCAAGTAGTCACGCGACTTTGGAGGGAGCCTTAACCCTAGTCTCTGGGTCTTCCCCTCCCATGCCAAAGCTGGACAGCTCTGGGATTTTGTTCCGCAATTCTGGTGGTACTGGGCTGTGTTTGGGGGTCATCAGTGACATCTCTCAGGTGTGCACAGGATGAGCTCGGGGGGAGCCATGATCTTTATCCCACACGGTAGCTGTTTCCTCTGCTTCTTGTAGGAAAGGAAGTGACTGGGACCTGGCTCGGAATGACGCATCTGACCGTAGCCGCCTGTTTGCCCAATCTCACGTCATTGTTTAATGCCATAAGCAAGCCACGGATAACAGACTAAATAATCCCCAAGGACAGTTTATGTGAGCGTGGTGGAGGCTGTGGGATGATGGTGGAGGTTGGGGGCGAGGGGCCTGGACACCATGAGCTCAGAGGTCTGCACCTTTGATGGCGATGTTCAGTTTAAGAAACAGTTGTCCTGCATAAAAAAACAGTTTCAGTCGCTGGTGGGAGCAGAGAATTACCCATTTGAGCTCTGGCCCCTCCTAACAGAATCCAGAGGCCTTCAGAGGTCCCCTCAACCCAGAGCTGCACGGTAGGAACTTTGTGCCTCCACCCTGTGAGGTTGCCCTGGCTGTGGCTTGGGAGTTGTTCACCGCGGAGTGTTGTGAGAGGCGGAGGCGTTCTGAACACATTCTTTTCCCAGCTGCCTTTTGGGAGGGGCTGCTTCAGCTTGGGAATTCTCTCCAGTGCCCCCACCCCCACCCTGCTCACACAAGCGCTGGTCTTTGTTTGACCCGTTCAGAGTGTTGCTGATGGAAAGAATGACAGGTGACCTGGGCCTCCGGTCCAGCCTGTCCTTTGAGTGGTCCCTAAAATAATACCATTAGTGGGGCCAAGCTAAGGCTGCTTATCTCTGGAGTGGCCTGCCGATAGCACTGAGCAGGTCCTCGTGGGATCCTGGGGCCCAGATGGAGACGTGGCTGTGAGCCCCCGATGAATGAGCAGGTCTTAGCACCCGCTGTCTTGATGACATTCCAAGGGATATAAATAGCCCCTCAGGCTTGGCACCTGCCTGTGCAGTGTGGTGTTGGCCACATGGAGAGGGCCCACCTGGCATGCGGCAGACACCTCGAGCCATTTTGCAGTTCTGCTTGCACAGCTGGGGCTGTGAGGTCAAGTGACATCGGGGACTGATGCACAGTGCAGCCTTTGTCCAGCTGTACTGGTCAGGGATGC